TTCTCTGTAACTCTGCCTTTCAAATAAAAAAACGCCACAGAAAATCTGCTGAAGGACAACTCTGTGTCCTCTCAAACTATATTTTAAAATAAAGTCATATCCCAACAGACTCAAATCAGCATTAGAAAATAGTAAAACCACAAAGACATAGGAGATATCAAGAGCAATCCTAAAAACTTCTTAACAAGAGGTCATATGCACAGAGCAGGGGGATTCCAGAGTGAAGCAGGTGGACAAGAGGAGACTTGTGTTCCAACCCTGGAGACTCCCGGATCTTCGCCAAGGACTATCAGTATGAGCTCCAAGGACTACATTCCAAATGCCAAGGAGACCACGGGGAATTGGAGTGCCTTCGGAGGCTAAGTACTCTGAGGTCATCCACTCCCACTTGAATCTCCCACATGGGATACAATAAGTCCAAATCCCTCCTTGCAGAGCCCAATGTCACTGGAACAACAGCCAGGAACCCTGAGTGGTCTACAGAAACAGAAGAACAATAAACTCCCTCTGAAACCAGGGAGAGGAGCTTTCTCTGGTCCTTGCTCAGTTCCAGTACTGGATCCCCAGCCTCTCTTGCAGTGACCATCAGGGTCACCCTGGTGCCCGCCCCAAAACAAAACAAAACAAAACAAACAAACAAACAACAAGAAAAAATTAAAATAGAGAACAACAAGGAAAGCTTAGAACTAGACAAGAAACGATCAGTAGGGACTCACATATACCTTACTAGGTATGACATGAAAATAAACTACTCCTAACTAGGGCATGGAGGATTTCTCTGCACACCCCTCCCAACAGTGTTCTATGCCTCAATGGGTGTCACATGCCTTGCTAAAGGTATAAGCCAGTTTAGACTATCCTAAAATCTGCCAAGTTCAGTAAAAATTATGCTTCAACACAATAAACTGCTAAATAATAAAATGAAAATAAAAATGAGATAACTGAATGGCATCCTATAGCCAATTTAAGGTAGATAGAAGCCAGTTGTATACAAACTATAATTGAAACATTAATGAAGTAGTCTCAGGATGTGGTTAAGAACTCGCACTGTCTAACATATCAGTCACTCAATACAATGTTAATTAACCCAATAATGTTGGAAACTGTTGTTGATGTTATGTTATGACATTTAATTGGTCAGAATGATAACCTGCCAGCTATGTCTCCAGACCAGAGTTGGTCTCCCCAAGAAACTGTTGAATTCAGCTGGGCAATAAGATACTGGACTCTATGCAAGGCACATGCTTGCATTGAAAGAAACAAGACTAGATTTGAACTGTAATACTGCAATAAGGTGAAGCAATCCACCAACGGGGGGAGGGAAAGGGAGAACATCAAAGCCTATGAAATGTTGTTATAAAATGAAATGCAATAAAAAATATATGTAGGGCCCGGCACGGTGGCGCAAGTGGTTAAGGTCCTCGCCTTGCATGCCCGGGATCCCATATGGGTGCCAGTTCTACCCCGGCAGCCCTGCTTCCCTTCCAGCTCCCTGCTTGTGGCCCGGGAAAGCAGTTGAGGATGGCCCAAGGCTTTGGGACCCTGCACCCACGTGGAGACCCTGAAGAGGTTCCTGGCTTCGGATCGGCATAGCATCGGCCGTTGTGCTCACTTGGGGAGTGAATCATTGGATGGAAGATCTTCCTCTCTGTCTCTCCTCTCTGTATATCTGCCTTTCCAATAAAAATAAAATAAATCTTTAAAATATATATGTATGTAAATAAAAAAGGAAACCCTAAAAAAATAAAGTCATATCCATAGTAACATCACCTTCCTCATAAATCACAAGGTTTAATTTTGTAAATAGATGAAAAAGCAAACCTTCATTCTTTAAATGCCTCCTACTGTACAGATTTACCCTTCTTACTGGAGGGAGCAGGTTCTCTGTGTCATATGATGCCAGGTGGCTTGACCCTTCTTTCCTTTCAGCTCATTGAAGACTGGCAAAGGTGTCTCAAGGGCCTGTGAGGATGAGATTGATGACATTAAACTTACCCCCAGAAAATTTTCACAAAGACTTCTTTGACTTTTCTCTGTATGGACAATGACTGATTGGTTTAGTTCATTTACACTTTTATATAGTCCCTCAAAATACTGATTCTACCATAAAACTGAATTTTATTTTCTTTTATAAACAGGTTACAAAAAGTTAGCTGAAAGCCAATCCATTAAAATAGCAGATTTTACAACACTGTGAATATACTTAACATAACTGTAGATCTATTTTTATTTATTTCAAAAGCAGAGAGAACACGAGCTGAAGGGACAGACCTTCCAGCTGCCTGTTCACTCCCCCAATCCCTACAATGATAGAGGTTGGTCAAAGTCAGGAGCCTGGAACTCAATGTAGGTCTCCTGTGTAGGTTGCTATAGATTTCAAACCCGTCTCTATGTTTCATATTCTAGCTGAATAGAAGTTTCTGGATAACTGCTTTGGAAATTGGAACTCATAACCCTAACTTCATTAACATTATGAGCTAAACAAATGAGTTACCTATTATTTGTTCGTGGAGAGGTATATATTTTGAAATAAAGACATTCTTAAGACATAAACACCTATTTTTCTTTTAGATCTTATATTTTCTGCATCTATATTCTGACAATATATATATAATCAGAAAAATACATATATTTTTTGCAACATATGAAAAAATCTCCTGGAGGGTTCAAGAAAGAATGATAAAATATACTGTTCATATGCACGTAAGCCCGCACCATCCATATGGTTACTAATTGTTTCTTAATAACATGAGTTTTTCCCTAGAATCCCTTTCCCAAGCTTATCATAATAAATATTAAATACCATCTCATACTTACAAAGAATGTTACAGCTTACAAAGTTAATTCATAAATATTATTCTATTTGGCCTTCACAACAACTCAGTGCTATGACAGGAAATACATTATTATCTCTACTAAGTAGACGAAATAAAACCAAACAACTATGAAGTAAAACTGAGAGCAGCAGGGCACTGAATTTTTCACAAAACTATCTGGCCTCTTGCATGTGTATGGAGAATGTATTCCTCCTTTTATAGAAATATTATTATATGGTTGTAATAGCCACTTCCTCAAATCCTCTGAGGAACAAGGTAAAACACAAGTATAAATTAAGAGGGGGAAAAAAACCTACAACAAAATAAGAATGCTTTTTTCTTTTTGGTAATTTTACTATTATTTTTCTAAAAGTCATTATACTATATTTAAGGGAAATTGTACCTGATAATAATGTGCTCTGTGACATTTAGAAATTATATTTGGTGGCCAGCACAGTGGCCTAGTGGCTAAAGTCATTGCCTTGCACATGCCGGGATCCCATATGGACGTTGCTGGTTCTAATCCCAGTGGTCCTGCTTCCCATCCAATTCCCTAATTGTGGGAAAGCAGGCGAAGACAGTCAAAAGCCTTGGGACCCTGCATCCACGTGGGAGACCTGAAAGAGGCTCCAGGTACCTGGCTTCAGATAGGTGCAGCTCTAGCCATGGCAGCTGCTTGGGGAGTGAGTCAGCGGACAGATCTTTGTCTCTTCTCCTCTCTGTATCTTTGCAATAAAAATAAAATGAATCTTTTAAAAAATAAAAATTATATTGAAAGTTCTACAACAAGGATAGTCTAAAACTATAATTTCAGTTCTGCAAGATGAGTGGGTTTCGTATTTCTTTTCTCTAAGTAAACAAAATCTTTCAGGACTAGTCATCTTTTTATTTGCAACAGGTAAGACAAATTCCGCGTGATTCTTTATAAGGATCGTAACAGCTGGTCAGTTACTAATCGATCTACTGATAAGGTGCTATTGGAGGGTGACTTTGAAAAAAATGATTGTTTTTCTCTTCACTTTCACAGTCCTATGGATACCCGTTGATTTTAGTTTTATGCCTTAGCATTATGACTAATTTCTTGTGTATCACTAAATCTAAAAGAAAAAGTATCTGGGTATTTTCAGTACCTCGTTTGGTCTTGATCTTCAGGAAGGTCATCCTAGGCACTGGATAGTCTGGGAGAGGCAGGCTCTTTCACCGGCTGTACGTGAAGGCAAACTCAGCGACTGATCTGCTCTGGGTTTAGGTTCCTTCTCTCAGATACGACAGGGCATATTAGTTGCAGACTATCATCCTCAAAGTTCATTTTAGCTTTTGCACGCATCATCCTAAGACCTCTTGACAAACACTTGTTCTGAGAAGGGATTCTGGTATAGACAAAATCGTGGGAATGTCTGTAAAGTGCCTATAAAACGTGGTGTATGGTCCGCGAGAAACTGCGTGAACAAGTGCTAACTACTACTCGGGCCAAACAGCAGAATCAGGTGGTAACTGTGCGGTAGTTCAAGCCACTGTGAACTGGAAACTCCAAAGATGAAGTCGGGGAATTATTAGGTAATGATTTCATTACTGGATAGTTGCCTGCTACATTAAGAGTGAGAGCGGAGTGCCTACACATTGCCCTGTATAGCGTTAAAAACATCCGAGAAAAGCGGTACTGAAAAATAAATATCTGCAGCAAAAGTAGAAAAAGTTCCTCTCCTTCGCTGCTGAAAACTCAACCCCTACATTTCTCATAGGTAAACTGGAGGGTCGTGACTATAAGCGAGAGTGTTCAACCAACTCCCCAGAACATCTCTTGGGGGCGAGGGGAGGAGGGAAAGCAGTCCGGAGGTGTCTGCGCTACAAATCAACTCCAGAGAGACGCTCCTTCGGCCAGCGTACTCCTCCAGAGAAAAGGTTCCAGCCGCAGCCCCCGTCCTCCCCCTAGAAGGTTCTAGCGGCAGCCACCCTCCTCTCCACAGAGGCAGATCCAGCCGCAGCCTCACTTATCTCCTCAGGCCTGCAGCCCAGCAAAGGGGCACTGGCGGTGTCAAGGCAACAGTCCGCGCCGCCTTCGCCGCGCGAGCCCCGCCCCTCGGGGCCCTTCCGCCACTGCGCGACTCGAAACTTCTTCCCTTCACTGGCTAGCGTTACGCTGGGGTGGGCGGGACCAAGGCGTGCGGCGGTGAGGTCACTTCCGGCCCGGGAGCGCGCGGGTTGATTCGTCCTTCCTCGGCCGCGGGTGCTCGCTGCTCGGAAATGGCGGGTAAGTTCCCGGGAAAAAGTTTACCAAGGGGAGGAGGTGGCCCGCCTCGGGAGAGAACGGCCGGACGGCGATGACAGTGGCCGACTGGAACTTTCGGGCTCTCCCCTGTGTTCCGAAAGGCCGAGTTCTCCGGCTGGCTTGCTGTCGGGCCGCGCCCCCGCCCCCCGCGGCCCGGGCTTCGGCGGCCGAGGACCGGAGCGGCGCCCGGGCGGCTGTCGGGGCTTCGTCTCTCCCCGTTGCTCTCTGCTTGGCGGGCGTTCCTCGCCGGTCCGGCGCGGTGCTGTCTGAGGGGTCCCGAGTGACTTCTTCATCGTCCCCTCGCTCTCTCACACTTTGATATTCCCCGGAGTCGCATGTAGATGTTCCTTTGAGACGCGAGATTCCTGCGCTCTCCCTTCGTCTTAAACTTCTGGAAGTAGTGTCGTTCTGTTCCTCCCACCTTTTCGTTTTCTTGTGGGGTCGCTTCAGTTTATAGCGTGTCGTGACGTATAGTGGCCCTGTGTAGGTGTGTGAACGCTGTTTCGGTGTGGGTATAATCTCCCCCCCCCCCCGCAGTTAACACAGCGTTCGAAGGGATGGACAGTGTCTATGTCGTTGGTGAATTTTCTGCCCCCTGCCCTTTTAGTTGTCCGGCAACAGGTTTATAGGTTTGCGGGAGATCTAGGGATGTTTAAGGGACTAGGATTGTTCTGCAGGACTGTGGGATCTTAGCGCACGCTAGTGTCACCGAAGGATCAGGTTAGATGTACGTATCTTAAGAACCACATCTAGATTCGAATCTCAGCTCTAGCACTTAGTAGTTGAGTGCTTTCAGACAAACCTCTTAGCAAATGAGTTTCTGAACATGAAGCGGAGTTGATAACAGTACCTGTTTATGAAAGTGTTAGTTAAGCTGACACATGTTTTCATGTGTTAAATTGGTTCTACGTAAATGCTTTCCGTGGATGCAGGAATCTCAGTTTCATAGATTTGGGCCATCCATGTTAACCAATGTGTTTACAGAGCTAGCAGTAATGGTGAAGTCTGGATTTGAAACCAGGAGTTCTGACTTAATTAACCTCTGCTGTCTTAAGTCCTTTCCATTTTCATTTTATGTATGTTTAACCACTTTTTGAAGTTTGTGGTGTGTTATTGTACTTCTGCTTTCTTTCTTTTGCTAAGGTTTGTTTATTTTTATTGGAAAGTCAGATACACTCAAAGAGAGAAATATACTCCATCTGCTGATTCATTCCCCAAGTGGCTACAACGAGCTGGAGCTGAACCTATCTGAAGCCAGGAACCTGGAGTCTCCTCAGGGTTTCCCATGCAGGTGCAGGGTCCCAAGGTTTTGGGCTATCTTCTGCTGCTTTCCCAAGCCGCAAGTAGGGAGCTGGAAGGAAAGTGGAGCAGTGGGGACAGGAACCAACAGGATTCTGGTATGTGCTAGAGGAGGACTTTAACCCTTAGGCTACCACGCCGTGCCCTGTACCCCTGCTTTCTGCTCATGACTCTTATTTCCTGGATTTTTGCTAATTATCATTTTGTGAAGAGTTACTGTCGTCTTTATTTAAGTTTTTCTTCATAATGATTTTTTTTCTTTCTACTGTTTGTGAAAACAAATAGTAATGGGTGGCCACTTTATAGTAAAAGCATTTGGTCATCCCAAAGTTAAAAAAAAGTGCAATAAAGTAGACTTTCCTTCTTATCCCTCTTCATATCCTCCTTGAGATAATCCATGTGTTGTTAGTTTTATAGTTAGTTGATCTGGAAAGTTTTGGGTAGAATTTTTCTAGTATTAGAAATGCAGTTCTTTCTTAATTACTTTGACATTCCTTGTTTCTTATATCTGATATTCTTAGATCTGAAGTAGTGGGGTCCTTCAGCATTATATTTGTTTTTTGAGAAGGCTACTCAGCTATAAAATCTTGATTTGTGTAAGTGTTAAGTCTTCAGAAGTTTAAGTAGTATGTCAGTATTAATTTTTAGGCTTATTCACTTATTTAAAACGTGCCTGTTTAATAAGCATCTGTTTCTAAAGTGATTTTCTGTTTTATAGTACTGGATATGTTTGTTGAGGAATATGCAAAAACTGACCTATGCTTTTTGCTTACCCTTTTTCCACTTTTAAGAAGGTTTGACTATTTAAATCACTTCCAACCAAACCTTTCAAAAACCTTTTTTTTTTTTAGGATTTGGTGCTATGGAAAAATTTTTAGTAGAATACAAGAGCGCAGTGGAGAAGAAACTGGCAGAGTACAAATGTAACACCAACACAGCAATCGAGCTGAAGTTAGGTATGTATGCCATTTCCAGGTGATATGTGCTATGTGTACTGTACATGTATGTCATCTTTCTTTCTAAATGTATTATTCTTAAAATTTTATTTGAAAGGCAGTTACAAAGAGAGAGGGAAGAGAGGTTTTCTATCTACTGGTTCACTCCCTAAATGGCCACAACAGCCATGTCTGAGCCAGAAGCTTCTTCAGGCTCATTACTACAGATCTGGATTAGAGTGTAGTAAATGGGACTGGAACCAGCATCCAGACTAACTCACCCTTTCTTTTTAAATTTAAGAGACAGTTTGTGTGAATGTATGGCCTTCAACATGAATTGATAATTGAACTCATTCAATTTTTGGAAAGATATATATTTTTTAATTGGAACAGCAGATTTTTTAAAAATTTTATTTTTTTATTATGTTTACATAGTTGATCAGAGTGAGACTATTTTTTCCAAATCTTGCCCCTTCTTCCTCCTGGATGTGGGGGAAGGGGAAAAATTAGGGGAGAAGCTACTCCCAGCCTCACTACCACCCTATTACCTGGGGATGGGAACAGCTGCCTGATGCCATTCCATGGTCCTGATGTGGAGCGTGCTTCAAGGGCTCCACATAAGTAGTTTGGTAGTTCTAAAATGCTGTCTAGCTCACCAGTCCAAAGATGAGGAAATCCTTCCAAGGTCCATCTGCAAATACAGTCCACCCCAGAGTCTGCATTCGTCCAGATATTTGCTGTCAACACTTGACTGATGTAGTTGAGCAATTGGTTTTTGCCATACTACCAGATGTCCTCTGCAGGCCCCAATGGACTGCCATATCCTCCATGTGCATCTGGGCATGCTGTCCAGTGCTCCAGCTTAGCTACTTAGGAGGTCCAGTTCTGACACATGCATTCCACAGTCAACCCACAGGTTCTGTGATTCTCCCTGTAGTTGGAGTTCTGAGTCCAGCAGTTCAGTTGGGAGGATCTTTAAAGAGACCTCATCTAAGGTGATCCAAGACCTGACTGTTGTGTATGATTGCCAGTGTAGGGTCCAGCTCAGTTCGTCACCCACATCGACTTATACACACAGTGGTAGATGTAATTACTAGGTCAGTTTTATCTCCAACTTCATCTCTCTCTCTCTTTTTCTTTTTAAGATTTATTTATTTTATTGGAAAGGCAGATGTTCAGAGAGGAGAGACAGAGAGGAAGATCTTCCAGCCGATGATTCACTCCCCAAGTGGCTGCAGTGGCCTGTGCTGCTCCGATCCAAAGCCAGAAGCCAGGAACTTCTTTCCGGGTCTCCCACGTGGGTGCAGGGTCCCAAGGCTTTGGGCCGTCCTCAACTGCTTTCCCAGGCCACAAGCAGGGAGCTGGATGGGAAGTGGAGCAGGCGGGATTAGAACTGACATCCATATGGGATCCTGGCATGTTCAAGGCGAGGACTTTAACCATTGCACTATTGCACCAGGCCCTCCAACTTCTCTTAAGTAAACCAGCATATACTGTGACCCAGCCCACCACATACTGCCCTCATGCTCACTAATAGGACCTGCAGCCTAGTTGGGGCGACCCCCAATAACTCCTACCAGACCTGGTCCCAGCCCTGGTTCCTATGCTTGCCAGTGTATGCAGTAGAATAGCCTAGTCTGTCCCGTATCCCATTCACCTCTCAAACACATCAATGGGCACTGAAGCCTAGCTCAACCCAGCCAACCCCACTGTCCAGCCCACACTCATGCTCATAGATGCCACCACCTGTCTAGCCAGGTGCACCCCCAGCCCTGATTCTCTTGCTCGCCAGTGGGAGTTGTAGGCCATCAGAGAGGTGCTTACACCTTCCCAAACAGACCCATTCCCAGCCCTGAATCTTGCACTTGTCAGGTGGTTCTGCAGTTTTGCCTGACAGGGCTTTTCCCGCCTATCCCGGGGTTTGTCAGCTAATGCTATGGCAAAGCCTAAGCAGCCTGCACCTATTCTGGCCTATGCATGTATCAGTTAGTTAGCCCAGCCTGGCTCTTCCCTCCAGTCCAGCTGACATGCAGGCCAACAGGTGTTATAGAGGTGCCTGGCCTGGTCTGCTCCCGGTTCCAGTACTCACACTCAGCAGTGGGAGCAGCAGCTCAGCAGGAGAGACCCCCGAAGGCTCCCTACCAGGCTTATACCCCACAAACCCCGGTTTCACTTATGCAGGTGGATACTGTGGCCCAGTCTGGCATGGCCTGCCTCATCTCAGCATTTACTGGCAGTTGCTTTAGCCTGTTCTGGCCTATCCTGCCCCCAGTTCCAGCTCATGCTGGTAGATGCTGTCGCCCAGCCCCCAGCCAGCCCCCAGCCCCAGCCCTAATGTGGACTGGCTGGTGTTGCAACCATCCCATCCAGGTTCTCAGATCTGCCAGTAGGTGTTATGTCCAGCCTGTTAACACATGTATACTGGTAGGTGCAGTAACCTGGCCTGGTCTGGGCTGCTCCTAGCCTCGGTTCTTGCATTCACCTACAGGGACTACATTCCTGACAAAGGAATTCCTAAGCTCCTCTGTCAGGCCTCCTCACGGTGGCAGATCTCACATACGCAGGTGGGTAGAAAGGCAGATTTTCACAGAGGGAAAAGTCTTCCATCTGCTGGTTCACTTCCCAGATGGCTGCAAGGAGCCGAGCTGGTATGAAGCCAGGAGCTTCTTCTGGGTCCCCCATATGGTACAGGGTCCCAAGGGTTTTCCCAGGCCACAAGCAGGGAGCTGAATCAGCAGCCAGGACACAAACCAGCACTCATATGCCATGCTGGCCATTCATCAACCTACTACACCACAAAGCTGGCCTCATATTTCATGGAATGTTGTTTGAGAGATAGCACCCCACACAAACCAAGGTTATAGATAATCGCGCGATGTGATGTGAGCTGCATATCAATAGAGCATTTTAGCACCCAAGCGATTTTCAGTTAGCACTGAAAACAGCTGCTCTGGTACCACATGCTGCAAAGGTGAATGTGACATTTTGGGGCTGCTGCAATGGCTCCGTTAGCTCAAATGCCAGGATCCTATATGCATATTCTTGTCCTAGCTGTTCCACTTCCCATACAACTTCCTACTAATGACCTGGGAAAACAGCGAGGGTTGCCCAGATCATTGGGACTCTGCACCTGTGTGGAGACCTGGCTAAAAGTTTGTAACTTTGGTTGACTCCGCTTCAGCTGTGCCATTGGGGAGTGAACTAGCAGATGAAAAATCTTTCTTTCTCTTTCCTTCTCTCTGTAAATCTGCCTCTCAAATAAAAATAAAATTTTAAAAAATGTATTTATTTGAAAGACAGTTACAGAGAGAGCGAGCACTTGCTTTCATTGGCTGGGTTGCTCCCCAAATGGCTGCAACGGCCAGGACCTGCAGGTTCTTTCAGTTTCTCATTTGAGTGCAGGAGCCCAGACGCTTGGACCATCCAGTACTTTCTCAGCTACATAAACAGGAAGCTGGATTGGCAGTATTGGCACTGGTATTGGATGCTGGTATCACAGGTGGGGACTTAGTGTGGCATGCTATGATGCCATCTCCAGCTCATCTTGCCTCGCACTGAGCAAAGTCTGCTGTGGCAGATATCTACACAGCAATGCAAAGTTGTTAAACATCATGCTTATGCTGATGTCTGTTATTTTTGGAGAAGGGGAGAATTATGTATAAGGTTATTTGTAGAATGATATAACTATGAACATAATGGGAATATAGTTTATTCATCAGTAGAGGAATTAACTTTGGATATGGGTGTGGAAAATTTCTACTGTGGTAACAAGAAGGAGAATATATGAGAATGGCTACAGTAAATTAGAAAATGGAGGTGTGGCAGTCTGAGTAAGATTTCTTCTGAATGTTCCTGAGTCATAAGTGTGATAAGAAACAAGGTCATGGGCCTGGTACTATGGCCTGGTGGCTGAATCCTCGCCTTGCAACAACCAGGATCCCATATGGGTGTTGGTGTCCTTGCTGCTGCACTTGCCATCTAGTTCCCTGCTTAAGGCCTGGGAAAGCAGGAGAGGTTGAGTAGGAGCTTGAGTGAGCTTGGGAATTACGTTAGGATTGTCAAGCATTAAGGGCCTACTTTAAGTTAGAGTTTGTGGGTGTAAAGTGACATCATCCGCATCTGGATGCAGGGGTGCAGCAGGTGGGTATATAATCAAATTTTGAGGTTTTACCAGGTTGCTGTGACAAGTTACAGCAAAGGAACTGAGGATGTTTATGGGGGAATGAGAATATTGATGAGCCGTGAAATTCTAATATGAAAAAGGGAAGAAAAGTGAGTATATGAATGAGCTTTTGGGGGAATGGTGAGGTTGTGTTCAAATTAGTTTGTTGGGCCTGGCGCGGTGGCGCAGTGGTTAAGGTCCTCGCCTTGCACGCCCGGGATCCCATATGGGCGCCGGTTCTATCCCGACAGCCCTGCTTCCCTTCCAGCTCCCTGCCTATGGCCCGGGAAAGCAGCAGAGGACGGCCCAAAGCTTTGGGACCCTGCACCCGCGTGGGAGACCCGGAAGAGGCTCCTGGCTTCGGATCGGCCTAGCATCAGCCGTTGCGCTCACTTAGGGAATGAATCATTGGATGGAAGATCTTCCTCTCTGTCTCTCCTCTCTGTATATCCGCCTTTCCAATAAAAAAAAAAAAAAAATCTTAAAAAAAAAATTAGTTTGTGGGCCCAGTGCAGTGGCGCAAGTGGTTAAGGTCCTCGCCTTGCACGCCCGGGATCCCATATGGGTGCCGGTTCTATCCCGACAGCCCTGCTTCCCTTCCAGCTCCCTGCCTATGGCCTGGGAAAGCAGCAGAGGACGGCCCAAAGCTTTGGGACCCTGCACCCACGTGGGAGACCCAGAAGAGGCTCCTGGCTTCAGATTGGCATAGCATCTACCGTTGCGCTCACTTAGGGAGTGAATCATTGGATGAAAGATCTTCCTCTCTGTCTCTTCTCTGTGTATATCTGCCTTTCCAATGAAAAAATAATAAAAATAAATCTTTAAAAAAAAATTAGTTTGTTGTAAGTCATGTTAAGGG